GAAAGTATGTGAAATTTCACATATATGTGAAATTATTTCACTTATGGAATTCACCCATATGTATTTTATTTCACATGTGGGTGAATCCCTACTAAAATAACATTTTAATTGGTGATTTTGATTTACTCATATTGCATTCACCCATATGTGAAAGAAAATACATATGGGTGAATTGAATATGGGTGAATGGAATTCACCCATATGTATTCTCTTTCACATATGGGTGAATTCCATTCATCCATAGTTAATCACATATGGGTGAATGCCATTCACCCATATGTGAAAGAAAATACATATGGGTCAACATATGTATTTTATTTCACATACGGGTGAATCCCTAAAACAACATTTTAATTGGTGATTTTCATTTACTCATATTCCATTCACCCATATGTGAAAGAAAATACATATGGGTCATTTTCATTCAATATTGATGGTGTTTGTCAATCACACAGATGTGAATAGCATTCACATCCATGTGAATGCTATTCACACCTATGTATTTGTCATTCAAAGTCTCACAAAGACATTTTTCTTCTACCCGCCACAATCACACATAGGTGACTGAATGTTATATATATGTGAGTCTCAATCACGCATCTGTGTTTGAGAGTCACATATATGTGACTGTTCTTTGCATGAGTATAAACTTCATTCACATATACATGACAGGTAATCACGTTATGTGAATATACATGACTGGTGATCACGTTAGGTGAATGAGACTCACTATCATTCACATAGATGTGAATAGCTCTGACATCTATGTGAGTCACTTTCACATATTTATTTTTTCTACGCTCATATATGGTTTTCAGTCTAAATCATGAATTATTGCAATATGTCATTTACACTCTCTCTTTTCAATTTCCAAAATAAAAAAAAACATTTCATTATATATCTTTCTGTTCAAGGACTCTAATATTTAATCAAATCACCATACGTCAGCAAGCAGAAGAACTATTTCCATCCTTTTGTAACTTATGAGTACTCTTATCCCCTCAAACTCGAGCAGAAATCGGTTCTACTTTTGCTTGGAATCATGCTGCAACTGGGTTGTTCTTATTTCATGACTACATTGGATAGCCTAGTAGACAATCAGCAAGGTCAGCATGTTGACCTATCAAGACGGGTTTGACAGGTCAAATCTCTTACATTATCATAATCAGCTCCCATATTATTTGTTTGAATACCCACATGTTCTACAGAGTCAGTCCACCGGGTGTTTGGTATTTCAGGGGTACAAACGATAGACTAGACATTCTGCAAGGTCAGTACAAGATCTTCATAATCGGTGAATTACTTCATAACAACTTACTTTATCATATCGATCTTTTGTTGGGTCGAGATTTGGCCAAGAGCTTTCAATCGTCTCTCCATTGATACTCATGGTCTTGCCTCGGTAGGAATGATGATGAGTCCTGCAAATATCGGATTTCAAAGGGATCCAACGGCCAAAGGCGAAGGTGGAGTTGAGCTGATTCATTTCGACGGGTGTGAAGATCTTATGATTGTAGCGGGGAAGGGTGATGAGCTATGGATGAAATCACTCGGATCAGATACTGGTTTGATTCCTCAGACCTAACTCAAATAACTCATTTTGACAACCCTAACCCACGTATGTATTGGTCTTTCATATCCCATACACACCCCATAGTTTTCAGATTTCGTTCCAAGTTGGTTAGCCGGTCTTCTGTGCTATACTACTTCGTTATTGATCAAAGTTCCATTTCCCTCCACCCCCAGTTTGCAGCTGATTTCTCCTTCGTTGTCGGACTCCGTGCTACGAACCGGGAGAATTTGGCCATCTGTTCAGGGTCAAAGATCTGGTTCTTTCATCTCTATAATTGCTATACCTCTTAGCTTTGGATCGCTATACTTCTTTTATTATCTTCACTTCAAATCAACCTGAAGAAGCAATATATTGATAGATCCCAGTGCAATAGGTGAGTCTATTTCCAACTTGGTTAGTTGATTTGTGAACATTCACTTGTAGTTGTTTTTGCTGACCCGAACTAATATGCATTTCGAAAACGGTGGTAACGAAACTCACATCACACAATCGATGTAGGATCGATCGTAACCTGTCCGTTTGATAGTTTATCACCTCCACCGATCTCTATATCCTTTGGGTGAGTATTGATTCTCTGTGCGTAGTAATGAGAGTAATGGTTTTATATATTAATCTGATCAATATATCATACCCGACAATTTTTAGGTTCGATTTCTTGATTTAGTTCGAAGCCATATCTACTCTACGAATCCAGCATGAGCCGAAAGAACGAAACTTCGAAAGAAGACAGCTGGCATACATGTTCCAGGTTTCAAGTCAAGATCATCGCCGAGCTATTACAAATCAAGAGAAAAATATCGCAAAGAGAAAACAATTGGAAAACCATATTGCCGTCATCACGCGAAGCGAACAAAACTCAAAAGACAACTCGTCGAACAACTAGGTTTACCAATCAATACTAAATTCATCTTCCGTTATAGTATTATTGATAGACCTTTAGAACGGCCTGCTAAGATTTTAATCAACTCTGGTACTGTTGTGGTTATCAATAAAAAAGATCTCTCCATAGTATTGATAGTGCGATGCACTCCTTTTCAAAATATGGATATGGGACTCAGGAAGAAATACGATCACTCATTATCAACAACTTTTCTTCATGCCCGAGCAAGAAACCAGTGTAAGATACATAGCTCTTTGCAAAAGGGGCCTTTAGAAGAAGGTGAAGAGGAAGAAGAGCCTCTGTGTGGGTGGATGGGATGTACTGGTTGGCGAGGTGGATGCGAGAAAGATAAATCAGCAGGTATCTGTATTATTTTCTTTATCATCTTTCTGTTACCAAGATTTCCCGTATTGATTTCAATGCTTCGATTTGAATAGGTCCCTATTCTTTAAACTCTTTCACATCAGCAAATATAGGAAGAATTCAGACGGATAAAGAACAGATGGAAGAGTTCCATTGGATCCGAGATTTCCGGGCCAACCGTTTTTCTACTTGTTCTTTGAAAGTATTCAAAACAAATGTTGCTCTTGCTTTGAAAGCCAAAGTTCCCGGTTTCCATGAGTTGAAATGGCAATTAACACAGAATGGTTTGGTATTTGCTTCGAATTTGGTGGTAACCTGTGATGGTTTCCACAATCATTCACATACCGACAAAGATCATACCAGGTATGCCTTTGGAATGTGGGGATTGATTATACGTAGTACTGGAGAGCCATACGATAAGGAGAAAGGCATCAAAATTGGAAAAAAGGAAGGTGTGAAGCTTGGAGATGTGAGAGGAGCAAGATTTTGTATTGATAGCTTTGGAATCGAAGTGGATTTGGGTGGTTGTAACGGAATCAATGATGTCCTTTGGGATACTACAGTGGGTTAACATCAATATTATTAACTAGATCTTCTCATATTGATAAATTGCTTTTCTTGTAGATTCCCCATTATACAACTTCCTCGATTGCATATGACGGGCAAGGTACCCCGATCGAGCACAAAAAATCCAAGGTAACATTGTATGGATCGTCTTGCCAGATATCTGAGGCATTGGTCAATCGAATTAAGTTACTAGGTGACAAGAAAGAAGGAATGACCGATTCACAGTGGAAAAATCACTGTGACCAGCGGGTCAAGACTTATGAGCAGATGTTTGATGATAAGGTGGAGAAGGCTACTAAAAAATTAAATTTGAAGTTGAAGAAGGGTGTAGAGTCCGAAAGAAACCCCTAAATATTCATCTTTTGTTCCTTGATTTTTTTGACTTGAAATATAATTGATACTTTTAGTACCTGAGCTGTTTCTTGAGAGATGTTGTGCTGGGAAATAGTGCTGAGTGAGTTTCCCAATAAGATCATTATCTACGGAAGGAATAATCTTCATATTATATGAAGATTATTCCAGAACTCTATGTAAACTGAAATCACATTAATGTGAAATGATTTCACAGCGATGTGAACTCAGTTCAATGTATGTGAAATCGGAAATTTTTATGTGAAGCCGTGGAATAATGAAATCAAATATATGTGAACTCATTTCACATAGATGTGAACCATCTGCTGATATGTATTTATGTGAAATTGTAATTTTTTTTAGATGTGCACTGACATCACATATAGGTGATTTCAGATCACATATAGGTGATTTGAATCACCTATATGTGGAAGTACTTCTGTGGGTAATGAATTCACTAATGGGGGTTCCAAAGTGAAGCAAAGGCCAATTCACTTTGGAACTCCCATGAGTGATTTCACAATAACCACGACACTTACATTGTACGTGTCTTTTAACCCTGCACCTGGAGGTAAATGTAATATATTCATTTTCTTACACGGCCAGGGCAAGAACATCTTTGCACTATTCCAATGGACATTCTCATTGTTAATCACATTCTCTAAAAGAGATTTAGAATTGTATATCTAAATCTCTTTTAGATATACAATTCCTGTTGAGATATATAAGATATCATAACAATTAATCCCAGGAGCACTTCGCTTACAAAACTCAACAAAATCCACCAAAGTCTCCATCAACCCGCTAATTGGGTTTTGGACATTGGTCAGAAACCATGAGATCCACCGACACCTCCACTGCCATGTCGCTACAATCATGCAATTACACTCCACCAATTCCATCTACCCCTATCTACCCGTGTCACAGCCCGCTTGCGGCTGTCCATATTCGACAAGACAAGCTACAAAATCATCCGCCCTTTCTGTATTCCCTATGAATATGAACCCCATCGATCACAGCAAGCACACCCGAACAAAGGACAACTGAAAACCACGGAAACATACCGGTGCGGAAACATCCCAACATGCACTCCAATCATTGTATATTGAATCCGCCCTTGTCAGGAAACATTCGTCACATGCTAACATCGCTTACCATGTTTCACACACTCCTAGACCGCCGATGAAAATGTCACTCATGACATAGTTGACTCAGATCTTACCATCATGAAATCACCACCACGTCTTTACAGAGTTAACTACACCAATGTTATTGGCTATTCTCAACCTTACAGTTTGTCATTCTTACTTCTTGCTCGTGGTTATTCTCAGTATTCTTGTTTGTCAATTTTCTAAATCTTACTTTTGCATCTCCAATTGCAAATAATGGCAAGATTGCCATTGGTCCACAAGATGGCTCAGATAGGGAATTTGATGTGCTGATCAAGCAGTTTCAATTGGAACAGGTTCGCAACTTGAACTTTTTTTGATACCATTCAGGGACAATGATCTTACGGGCTTGATTTTTTGAATTTCAGGACACTGCCAAATCTTACAAGGATCCATTGGGTGACGACATCCTGATTGATATAAATAGGAGCGGAGCGGCTATGGCCGAGATAGTCAGTGAACAGAATATCCATTCAGTTGCGGATTTGTTGCTCTGGATCGCTTGATTCGTAGGTTTGTCTGACTCGGTCTGCGTCAATAACTAGGTCCGCACGCGAAACCTCAATTTGTGTGAGCAAGCTCCAAGCATTAAGGGCTATTGGAGTTTCTAAAGGCAATATGGAACAGGTGTGTACACCTTGTACTTGTTCTGTGAAGAAATTGACAATAGTAACTCATCTGATGTGATTCCGATTAAAGGTTTCTTTGAGATGTGATGTGAACGTATCAGTCAAACCAAAATGATCTACACCATATCTCACATGATGTGACATCAAGAACGTAAATGGACTTGGGACGATTGAGCAAGGAATCGGTGCATAAAATTTCTCGCAAATGTTCTTCCTTTCAAACTTCATTTCACAAGTCAGGTATCAAAGAAAACCTATACTTGTCATGGGATTGCTTATCTGAGTCATCGAACCCACCATATCCCTTATCTTCAATCCACCATACGAGGTCAGGAGACAAGTGGCTTTGATATAGCAGAATGAGGATGTAGGGTCTGGAATAAGAGGATTCGATCTGGCTAGAAAAGTGCTAATTGACTTCGTAGCCAGGAATTTGTGACAGATTATAGATATTGCTCAATGCCAATATTCCACCTGTTTCAATTCCACAGGTACGCAGTACACATCACCTTGAACTTTTTGTGTCATTGACTGATCTTGTTTGTAAATCCGTATACTATTGTAGAGCAGTTTCGAGAACTGGTACCTGAACTAGCAGATCAAACCTTTGAAAGAATCCATTTGCAATACAAAATGCTTATCAAGACATCACCAAGTTTATCAGCTCATGGACAGGATAGTAATGACATCGTTTTAGATGTGGGATGTGGGATACGATTCTTTGAAGCGGTCAGGTCTGTCAACCAGAAACGAAAGGTAGACTTGTCACAGATGGGTATGTCAATGATCTTGATCATTTAATCATAAAAAAGCGATTTGAAAAGTCGTCAATTGTTGATGGATGACTTTTGATTGTGTCCGAGTAGGATTCTGAATGATTTGCTTGGGTTGTCCAAACATGGGATTGCATACGTCAATAATACAATCAATCCGACTGAATTAGCTTGTTTGATAAATAGAGTAGCAAAGAAGGATGTTCCGAGCAAGTACTTAGCTTGATAACCCTCACTGCTGTCCTAGAAACTGAATATCTGATCAAGTGCCCATTCATCAGCCTTCATTACAGGACCTATTGCTCGCAAAACGCTGGATCGTGCTATACAAAATGAACGCAGCTCATCATCGCAACGTTTTGAAGACTATCTGAAGGTTCTCGATCAAACAGAGACAATGTGATAGACAATGTGATACATCTCAGAGGTATAATCAATATCAGTTCTGGATAGTTTCGGGCCTCGCATCATTCAAGCACACAATCCAATTCTTCACTTGCTTCACACACGCTTGCCAGCTAGGAAGTTTAACTGAATCAATCTTCAATCAAGGATCAATCAAACCAGGATATCGATTATCAATCAAATTCATGCATGTATGCAATTCAGATCTCAGCTGACTTGAGAGCCACATGAAATCCCACAGCGGCATGATCTACTCTTGGTCTCACAACTTCTGGACACTGTGACCAGCTTGAGCACCACCAATCCATCCACAATGTGTTTTAAATCAGATTTTGATTGTATCCTGTTTTTCCAAATCTGTGAAGAACAAAAAATGCAACACAAGGGTGTGTCTTGCCTCTTCAGAACTCCCAAAGCCTTTGACTGAAACACCTTTTTTCATAGATTCAAATCTCAATCAACATTTGAAAAAGAAAAACCCTGAAATAATTGTATTTGTCATGCTTTAGGTGTCCAGAAGGTAATATGAAGGCGATGTGATTGCAGTGAATGGGTTATCAGCTCAAACCCATCTTGTTCAAGGTTGCAAATTTGATAAATTCTCAGCTAAGTTAAACAAACCTTGACGAAATGTTTAAGTGCTTGATTGGTTCATCTTCACATCATCTATCAATCTTGCATCAGATCTGACTTCTTGTATCTTCTCCGATGTTTTGGTTCCAATCCCTAGAACAGGATTATAGGGCACCCATTAAGAGTTTAAAGGAGACCACAGCTGAATAGAAAGTGGGACACGTATTGTGATGTAGGTGGTCGAGTATAAATATGATGGCATAATACATCTTGAAATCACTAATTGAGATTTTCATCTTCTGTTTTCTCAAATCTATGTATATTTTATAGTTGTCACAAGAATTAGAGGTAGATCATATAAGTACAGAATTTATTTGAACTTTGTTTTGAGATTACACTGATGTTGTATCTACAGTTTGTGATGGTGAATATGAGGTGTGTAGCATCCAAACTGTATGATTTCTCAAACAAATATAAACTGTGTCAAAGTCAAACCTTATTTCAGCAATGCAAAGATGTCAGGATAGCTTTGAAGTGTTGCAAAACAACCTACAACGTAGTCAAATTTTCCTGATAATATGGCTCACAATCAAATAGTAAATCTCAATGAACCAACCACCTTTGCTTGAGTCATCTCTATCTCAACTTGTACAGAGCTCCAGTTTGACTGCACCAACCATCAATATGCCAGCTCCCAGTTTTGATTCATTTTCTGAGCTACCTGCCCATGAAGCTTGTGATCGGATAGTCGGCAGCAGGTTGAAGTCTGAAAAGCAAAGCAAAGACCATAGTGATACAAAGCGCACTAAGTAACGTTCTACACAAAGCTCATCAAGTAGTACTTGTGTCTCAAAAATCAAAAACTCAAATCAAGTAATGACCTACCCAACAATTTCCTGGATTCACTTGGTTTGTGGCCAGAAAGAGAAGTTGTCACTCAAATTTCAACAAATCAAAAGTGAGAAATCAAAGAATACACGACTCAGATCAACCAAAGATGAACTCAATTAATCAAGACAAATTGAAGTTGGAATTAAATCTAGGTCATTCTCAAAGTTGTCGAACCAATCTTTGTTATATTCATATCACAAGAAAAGAAATTTTTCATGGATCTTAGGGGATATACTTTCATTTTGCATCATGAAGGTAATATAAATGGTTTGGTGGTACGTCCATTCTCTTGAGTGTGTTACGAGACTGGTGCATCTTCATGCCAAGGTGAGTTACCTTCAGGGCAAGTTGATAGACTTGCATCACAGGTCTGTCCTACCATTCACCTAGGATACCGCCCTACTAACAGGTGCCAGCAGCCTACATGGTTGTGGTTTGGGGGTCGGCCCTAAGGTAGAGATGGCTGAGGGATTGGAGCCATCCAACCCCGTATCTCTACCGTCGGGACAAGGACAGAGCCTGAGGAGCCATAGACTTCTCAACCCAGGAGGTGGGTGGGTTTTTGAGAAAAATGCTATGAGCTCAAGCAGGATGAGATCTGTGGGATCTCCAACGTGTGTGGATAGGGAGATATGATGTGGTGAGTGGAGAGGAAAAACTCTGCGCCTCCTCCCCACATCATAATTCACATCTCATTTGTGACAGTGATGTGTGGCATGTCACTAGATGTGTGAAATCTTCCTATCCGCACCCATTGCTCTCACAACTCTCAAGATATGGAATTCTATGTACCGCCGCAAGCTTAGGGAACCTTTGCAATTCCTTATTCAATCATTTTCTTCATTAAAATCATGAATAAATATGATTTATCTATGTGTCTGTGACAGCTGGACGGGTTCTGATGTAGATCCTTGTTGGCAAATCACTCTTGATAACGTGTATCAAGGAAACAGTTCAAAATTGAGTGAAGAGGGTGGCTGCAAAGTTGATGGCAATCTCTATACATCATTATCATTGATGCTCTAAATTTTGGTTTTATTGTCAACCACAAACTCAGCAGAACTGAATCTGTTTCTCTACGCTTCCTACTCAAATCAAAAAAGTCCATTTTGATTCCCAATGAATAAGCCTTTTGATTACTCAGAAAGGTAGATTCATCTGAATTTAGATCAAACATCACATATTCCTTCTTCTCAAGCTCACTAAACTTATACTGTTCTTCGGATTCTTGAGCAGTTAATGAACAGATCTTGGAATCAATTCTATGATTATACACCCCTTACTTGAGATAAATCATTGATACCACTTCTTCTCAAGCTCATAAACCCAAAGATTTGGCTTTGGTAGGTACCCTCCTTTCAAATGGACCTAATGTCTAGCTTTTGTTTGAAAATGTAACTGAGTGTGCAGATTAAAGGGAGGACAGGCATGAACACCAGTGTTTGCTTATCACCAAAAACATGTGTATCTCATTGTCATCTAACAATTTGTCTTTCTAGATTTTTAACACAGCCAAATTTGATTTGTGCCCACATGATTTCTCTTCAGGGGTTGCGTTCAATATCTTTGTTGCAATTGGAATTTGAAATGAGTGTGAGATTACATTTGTTGAATCTATATCAAATTAAATATAGGGCCAAGGGTTCCGATTAGAGTTTGAAAACATGTTGTTGGATCTTTATGTTCATCTTTTTTCTCCCTCGGAGGATTTCATAGTGGTTTTTTTAACTTAGGAAATAAATTCCTAAGTTAACATGGACAAGGAAACATTGGATGCTGAAACATTAACTAGAAGTGAAGTGAAATTGTTTTATTGAGAGTAGGATTGTTGATCAATCAGTCAATTAAAGCTTGATAAATCTCAATCTCAATCAAAAGATTGAACCCAAATGAAATGGTGTTACAATTACCTTGGTTTGATACATCTGTCACTGAGCACAACAAGAATCTCAATGATTCCCAAAACAGCTACAATCAATGATCTGTGATCAACACAACCAAGTGGGATGATTCTTATATTTAGGCCATTGCTATTTGCAGCCCACAAGAAAACCTTGTAGGCGCTGTTTTGGCAGCGCCTACATGGGTGTTTCCCACGAAAAAGCGCCTACATTTATGATGTAGGTGCTGAAAACCATCTGAAATGACGCCTACATGATAAACAACCCATGTAGGCGTCATTTGGTTACGCCTACATTCAAAATTTCAGAATGTAGGCGTAATTTTCAAGCACCTACATATCTAATTTGAAATGTAGGCGCTATTTTTGAGCGCCTACATTCAATTTTCAGGTCAAATAAGCGCCTACATGCAGTCTTGCATATGTAGGCGCTCCAAATCCAACACCTACAACTCCAGACTGGTCTGACGGCTAATGAAGAAGAAGTTTCAAGTTAAAATGAGAGTATTGGAAGACGGAAAAAGCAGTTCGGAGTTGAAATGAGTGTATCAGAAGATGGAAAAAGCAGCTTGGAGTTGAAATGAGTGTTTTGGAAGACGGAAAAAGCAGTTAAGCATATTGGAAGATGAATATGCCCTTTTCAACTCTGAAGTGAGTGTATCAGAAGACGTAAATAGCAGTTCAGAGTTGGAATAATCTACTTCTTTTTCCGCTTCTGATACACTCATTTTGACTCGAAACTGAGTTCAGAGTTGAAATAATTTACTACTTTTTCCGTCTTCTGATACACTCATTTTGACTCCGGAGTGACTTTTCCGTCTTCCGATACACTGATTTCGACTCCAAACTGATTTATTCGTCTTCCGATACTCTCATTTTGAGTCCAAACTGCTTTTTCCGTCTTCCAATACTCTCATTTTGACTTGAAAGTTGTTCTTCATTACCCTTCAGACCAGTCTGGAGTTGTAGTTGCCGGATTTGTAGCGCCTACATATGCAGGACTGCATGTAGGCGCTTATTTGAGCTGAAAATTGAATGTATGCGCTCATTTTTAAAAATGTAGGCATACATTTTGAGCGCCTACATTGGATTTCCCATGTAGGCGCTCGAAAATAGCGCCTACATTTCATTTTTTGAATGTAGGCGTAACCAAATGACGCCTACATGGGTTTTTTAACATGTAGGTGTCATTTTGGATGGTTTCCTGCGCCTACATCATAAATGTAGGCGCTTCTTCGTGGGAAACACCCATGTAGGCATAATTTGGCCAGCGCCTACATGGTTTTCTTGTGGGCTGCAAATAGCAACGGCCTATATTTAATCCACAAATCAATTTGTGAAAGATGCTTGCAAACCATTCAGTCCAAAAGGCAAGTTCAACAGAATTTCAGGACCCAGGGTTGAACCACAAGTCCAGACTTGATGTGAAAAATCATTGATGATCATTGGAAGGCCTTTGACACTTACCATTCAGCAGAGATAGGCAACAAAATCTTGTTATCCAAAATTCAAGACATTTAGGTAGCATCCCACCAGGCCAAATTTTGTCTATTGATGTTTATGTAGATATGAATCATTTGGTCAGTTGAGCTGCATTCATACAGAAACAAAAGGCAATTATCAATGTCATAAAGTGTGTTTCAGCATTTTTTCTTTGTATTTCCAAATTTTTGTTTAGTATTACACCAATAACAATAATGCAATACAGCACAGATGCATTCTCTTATGGAACATTTTCATACCCACTGTTCAGGCTGTTCTGGTTTGCCATGATCTGTGGACCATTGGGATTACTTTGCAATGTTGTCCACACAGCTTGTTAATCTAATGACCATGTTGCCTGATGGCACTCAAAGGAAAGATTCATGTGCTAAGGTAGATTGATATGTGGCTCATAATTGGCTGGGAAATTACACATCACCTGAGCTGTCTTTTGGCTCTTGTGGAACGGGTGCTGGCGAGTTTAACTGGTTCTTACATGCATTCTATAATGATTGAGCATCTCATTATGCCAAGTGATTAAGCCATTCTGCTGTTGGCTATCAACTAAATATGCCAAGTTTGTTTTGACAACAGCGGCGCCCGCCGCTAAGATGCTAGTATATATTTAATTCACATTAAGAAGTTGAATACTTTATGAGTTATTCATTTGTGGAATTGTATATCTAAATCTCTTTTAGATATACAATTCCTGATGAGATATATAAGATATATATATTTAATTCACATTAAGCAGTTGAATACTTTATAAGTTATTTTACTTAACTCATCTACCTGTGAAGCTTAATCACAGGTAGAAGATTTGAGTAAAATGGATGATATACAATTCCTGATGAGATATATAATATATATATATTTAATTCACATCAAGCAGTTGAATACTTTATAAGTTATTTTACTTAACTCATCTACCTGTGAAGCTTAATCACAGGTAGAAGATTTGAGTAAAATGGATTTGGTTATTTTACTCAATAGCTCGAGTTACGGCCACATAAAAGCATGAAAGAGATTCAATCCCCTTACCCTGATGATATATGTTACGTATTCCTTTATTCATGTATTGCTTTGTAAAAGTTTGATTCTTAATTGTATCATGTACCTGAATTGAAAAGCAACAGAGCCAATCTATCTAAATGTCTTTTAACCTGATAAGATATAAGCTACCTATTAATTTATAAACTAGTGGATATGAACTAGTTGAGTTTTAACAGGTAGATGCTTTATGTAAAAATGCATCAACTATGATCAATTCCACTGTTTGAGCAACAGTTGTATTTAAAACACAGCAGAGATCTCAAAAGGACTGCACGAAATAGATGATATGTAAATCTGGTTAAAAGTCTAAAGCAGAATTACATATCATCACGAAAGAGATATCAGATATATATCTGGTTAAATCATCTGTCAAGCAATGTATTCCATTATACTGGATACCTTTATTCATCCCTCATCTACGTGGAATCATTAATCATCACAGGTAGAAACATTCAAGTATAAATGATTTCACTTTTTGAGTACCCGCATCAAATCAAAAGCAGCAGCCAGATGAGAATCACGCACACACTATGGTTTTTAAAGACAACTATAACCAAGTTGTCTTTGAAAACCATAAGATATTCAATCCATGTATAGGTTGAATGAAATTCACGTATAGGTGGATGAGATATTCAATCCACGTATAGGTGGAATGAAATTCATGTATAGGTGGATTGAATATAATAATTAAATTCAATTCACCTGACCTTCAACAGTTTCACATATGAGTGACACTGCGTTACAAACATATAGTCCTGCGGTATTTACACCAATGAACTTTGTTGAATGTAATTCACCTTGTGTGAATGTGATTCACCTTGTGTGAATGTAATTCACCTTGTGTGAACTCAATTCACACAAGGTGAATCACATTCACACTCGTTCACACATAGGTGAATGGCATGTTAGAGTTATATCCAAAATATAAGACATGTTGGGGGTTCAAACAGCATCGCATTTGTGGGAAGCAGTGTCTCATAGGCATAGTTTGGGGCTATGTTCAGAATCACACATAGGTGAATGGAAATCACACTTTCTCACATAGATGTAGTTCTGCGCTATTATATGAATAACACATAGGTGAATGGGATTCAAAATATCGAACATTCCATAATTTTAAGATTTGTGAAAATTCAAATTACTAATATTTATTCAGAATCATCCTCATCTCCAAAACCATTCCACTCTTCCTCTTCTTCCTCTTCTAGATCCTCCATATCATCTTCAAAATTATCCCCCATCACATCCGCATTTTCATGATTATCCTGGGTCATTGTAACTTGATCTTCTCCTTCACCGCCAGGCTCATCAGCTTGGATGTCTTCTTCAGGTGTCGTGTTGATCTTTTCCATCTTAAACTTGTTAGCCATTAAATCTTCAAGCCAAATACTTCGTCGACTATTCATTTTATTGAATCCTAGCTTCAAGACTGAGCTAGGAAGTTTTGAACCCGGGATTTGTATAATCTTGAGATTATAGTCATCGCGTAGTATAGATACTGGGTCAGCAGCACGAGGAAATCCTTGTTCTTTTCCAATCAAAGCAGCTACGGTATAAGAAAGAAATCGTCATCGCTTCAATCACACTGCAATCATGATATCCAAAAATGAAAACATTCTTACAAAATTGGGATCGCAATAATGCGGCCAAATCAGCCTTGACAACATCCCCAGGATCGGTTTTTCGTGCGTTTTTGGTATTTGTCATCACATTGGCTCCAATAGTTTGGGCTACTACTTCAGCCACAGACAGCCCTTGAGCACGGGCTGCAAACACTCTGGCAAAGTTACTCTTGGTATTCACATATAACGCCATCTCCTCATGCGACGTAAACTCCCTACACCAACCGGGTAAAGCTGAGGAAGCCTCAGTAGATGCATGAGTGCTGCAAGCGAGGAGATAATACGAAAAGTCCATGTTGTATGCTTCGTTTTCAATCTAAATACAAAATGCAATTGTCAATCTAAATGAACCATAGATAAAAGTATAACCAACAGCAAACTACATTACCTGAGTGTGAATTCGTTCGATAGACTTCAGAGATTGTCTATTGTAATCTGGGAGGCTTGGACCTTGTCCAATTCCGGCGGCCACTTTGGCATACTCTTTAGCGACCTTGTGCTTACAAACTAATTGATCATACAGAGCTTGCAATTCCTCACGGTGCGCCGGCTCAAGATCTATTCGATGTATTGGTTTATTTGATTCGGTATCATCATCATCTTCATCAAGATCGGAATCACTGGAAGGTGGACTCAGGCCGGATAGAGTGTAAAAAACCGAAGGATGAAAAACCTCTTGGTGCTCATCCGGTAAAGCTTTCCAGATCTTTCCAAGCTTTCGATTGCGGCTTGCCAATATACCTTTCTGACCTCCTTTCAGTGGCACTGTTATGAAAGGAGAAGTGATAGTAAGTACGGAAACATCTATATATTTTTGGAAATAATAATATGAAGAAAAAGTTACTCCTATGTTTTTGTCTTTCTAAGCTATACTTTAACCAAATTTGATAGCATCCTGGTTTTCGGCGGCCTCCAAGCTCACCTCTGTGAACAAGTTCGATGTTAGTGACTTATATTGATGAAGGCAGTAGAAAACTGAAGATCTTTATAACTTACAGAGCTTTATCAAGCGTAAACTTACTAATATTTCCCATAATACTCAACATCGCTTTCTGATGTTTGTAAATCTTGCGAATCGCTTTGGCTTCAGTCAGAATAAGTGGTGGAATGGCTGTTCCTTTTTTCTTCTGAGCACAAGCTACCACTGCAATTCGAGCAGGTGGCCAATGATCAAGTTCATTCTTGTATTCTTTGATGCTAGGTAAATTAGTCTCATCAACATCGTCTTCAGAGGGAGAAGGGTCGTTGTTTTGGTTGAGTGGACCTCCTTGTCGAGTGGTATTGATGCAAGTGGCCAGCCGATTGAATATCTCCTCTGAATTGCTCTCATCATCTTCCTCTTCTTCATCTTCTTCATCTAAATCTTCACCTTCATCTTCCTCAGATTCCGAATCTTCTTCATCATCCTCTTCCTCAAAGTTTTTGTTTGTTGAGGAGACCGGTCGAGAGGCAGGACGACGATTGATGTTAACCCGTTTACGATTACGAACGGAAATGGTATTGGTCGACTCCATGGACACTCTGTGTTTGGAACGGGTGGACTTCTTGGGCGATGTGTCGGTCAGATGGGCTACAGAGGAGGTTGTAACAGCTTTCGATCTGGTGTTACACATTATGAGGTGAGCAGTAGATGAGAATCAGTGGATGGCCGAATAAGGTTGATTGATTTTGTAGTTGTTGGGTATTCTGTTTAACCAAAGCTTTCAAGTTGATGACTTCGTGGTGATGTGTGTCTGTGTCAAATAATAAAGAGATGAAGATGCGTGATTGATGTGAAAGAGCGTTAGTTCAAAAGGCGGGAGGTGTCACAGCCTAAGTACCGAGGAATGACAGGTAGGTGGGACACCAATTCAAAGTTCCTGACTGTATTTGTATTGTATACAATATTCAGGGTGCAAAAAAGCAATGTAATCTGTATCCATCACGCACCATTCACACCAAATAGGTATGAAGATGAATTAATGATATGGAACATCCCATCTCTGTGGCTTGGCTCATACCACAGAGATGGGATGTTCCATATTGGGACACTTCAACTTGAATTTTTCGTAGACAGGGGGATAGACCACTGCCCGATTGGGGTATATTATAAGTATAAAGATGGGGTAAAATCAAATCATAATGTTGTTCCCTTTACATTTTTTTTTGGAATCTCGTCGTTATTGGTTGAGGCCTCCTACTACCTTCATCGTACCTTTTTTTGTGGAATCTCATCAATCATTTTCAACAACTCCTACTTACTTCAAACACTTGAAGCAATTTCATCAAAATTATTATCGGACAAAAGCAGCTATGGGCAAAGGCAAGAAGATTGAATGCCCACTGGGGGGTGGATCAAAGAAGAAGAGGCGTACTCAGCCAGAGCCTCAAGGATCAGCAATAGTTGCTGGGCAAGTTGAAGCTAGTGATGCTCAATACGTCAATAACCACATCAAAGAGATTGAACAAGCACTGGTTGAAGCAGGCCATGGCAATCCGATGCAAGTAGAAGGACCTCTTGGAGAAGTAATTACCCACGAGGATTACCACGATGACCACGCTCAGCTTCAGGACAACTACATCGACAATTGTCTTCCGGCACCTCTGGAACCTGAAGAGGTACCGGATTTAATCCACAATAATTCTACCTATGTCCCCGGTTCAGATTACAAAAGCAAAAGAATCATGGAAAATAAGAACTGGAAGAAGGTTATACCTCAGATGTTTATATCCTACATGAAACTTGCACACACGACGTCACAGTGGGGAAATCCTTTGACCTGGAATCAAGATCACAACGAACCATGTTGTTGTGGCGCAGGTGACATAAGGACGCGTAAGGTTGACATTGTGGACATCTTGGGTGAGTTACCTACCATATTTAATTACAATAATTAGGAAGGGAATGTTAAAAAATTTCTTTTTCAGAGCGTCGACAAATAGAAATCAAATTCTGCGGATGTACGATGGATCAGGAGATTCACACTGTGTGAAAGACATTCACACAAGGTGAAAGACATTCACACAAGGTGAATTCAATTCACCTTGTGTGACACGGTGTGAATTGCATTCACATGTGGTGAAGGCCAACTTTTTTGCTGAGTTCAGTTAATAAGATGTCTGATAATATTTTCTTCCCTTAACTTAGGACTCTTGTGCGGCATCACACACCGCTGCTTCAGACATCCGGGGAAAATCTACTTGGAAGGGGTGTGATGAAACTGGCCTGATTGGATTGGCTTGTCGTCATGATCACGTCTTGAATTTTGTCAATGTGGTCCAGAGTGGAGAGCGGTGAGTTGTCCTCTTAATCTAACAAGATGTGAAGCGTGTGTGAATGATTCAGTTTGATTAATGGTGGTGATATTTGATGGAATTAGTCAGTATTTTGTACTGGCATTGCTTGATCAGTTATTTCAGGATACAGCGGAGGCAGGGAAGCCGAAAAAAAGCCATACGGTTTTTTACGACATTGGTTGTACACTAGAAAAAAGTGTTCAGAAGGTGGAGTTCTGCTGCTATTTGTATATTTGTATTGAACTGTGCAATAACTGAGGAAGTCCTTGATTTTACAGAACGGGTATTTTGAGGTGCAATACCAGCGTGGTGATCTCAAATTTGCAACTAGTGCTTTCCATGCTTATGCACATAGATGGACTTGTCAGTTGAAATATAATCCCCGACTGAATAAGGGCCATGGATTGACCGACGGGGAAGGAAATGAGAGGATCTGGTCTGATAATGATCCACTGATAGCACCAAATCGATGTGCTACCAAACAACACAGGGTGGATGCGATAGACTTGAAGTCTAGTCATGGAAATGAAACCAGATGCAACAACGCAGGTATCTAAAATTTTTCTGAACACAAAGATGTTTGTAGGAACTGAAAGATGATTTGTTAACAGCACGTTCAACGGAGGTGCAACTAAATACGGCAGAAGGAAAAATCAAGGCAGCTTTGGATACGCTCCAAAGGCTTCAGTCTCAAGATCCTAATTTCACGTATGGTTATTTTTCCAGGCAGTGGGAACGGCAGAAGGCCACTCAGCTGGCTGCAATGGATGAAAGTGGTGCACAAGAGAAGCTGGAGCAACGTTTGATTGAGCTTCTCGACTTGGAAGAGCAGGTGAAGGATGCGCAGTGAGTGGAGTTGTTTTGACAATATCGTGAATGGCTTGGGCTGACTTCCGGCGGATTTGACATGGATGAATTTATCAGGAATGAGCTCTCTCGTCTGCGAAGGAAGCGGAGGGGAACTCGAAGTGAGGAAGAGATGGCACTCTTCCTCACATTGCCGGCATCAATTGTGGAACTTGAGATGGTGGTGGAGGAAGTGAGAGAAGAGTTGGGAAGCCCTGAATTCACTCGACTGCGAGAGGCCACAGGTGGGTGATCTGAAGCGCAGAAAAAGTAATGTATCTTCACTAACATCTTGAAAATTAAAAGGTCCCAAAGCCGAAGCACTCATACGGGTACGTCTGGCTAAGATGAGGCTATATGAAGCCAAGGTGGGTATAGCTGAAGCGCAGAAAAAGTGGGACAAGGAGGGTCAAGGCAAGTTTTTTTTTTGTAATACTCTGAAGCGTAAAATGATGTTAGTTATTCTTTTACCTTAGGTACAAAGGCACAAAATGGCCTCAAGATTCTAATGAACAAGAAACAGTTAATCTTTAAGAAAAAGTGGACTTCGTATGAAGATCAAGTGTCCCAATTCAACAGCATTCGGCCGGTCAGCCGTATGGTATGTCCATCACTGGATGAAGCAAAAAGGCTACCTTTTGAGGATATTTTCTGGAATGTTGGCGCGCTGGCTCATCCTACAGAGAAGTGGGCTGTAGATCCAGGCACAATTGAAGGTATCCAGGCATTTTTACACAACAGGTCTTGTAGTGAAGAACTCCGAAGAATTG